AGATTCTAACAAAAGAGAAAATATATATATTTTAAGTGAAGATATTGGTTACAGCACAAAGTGTGAATTTGAAAATTTATTTGAAAATACTTATGTAAAAGCGAAAAGGCCAAATCAGCCAAAATTAAGACATGAGTTAAGCATAAGATTAGAAAACGACAAAGTATTTAATTGTACACCTAGGCGGTTATCTTATATGGAAAAAGAAAAGTTGCAAGAATTATTAGACGACTATTTAAAAGATGGAATCATTAGGCCAAGTTGTTCAGAGTATGCATCACCTATAGTACTAGTGAAGAAAAAAACTGGAGACATGAGGTTATGTATTGATTTTAGAAGACTGAACAAAATTATATGTAGAGACAACTACCCGCTACCATTGATCGACGATTTATTAGACAGACTATGCGGAAAAACAGTATTTTCAAAGTTGGATCTAAAAAACGGGTATTTTCATGTTTTTGTTAATGAGCAATCTATTAAATACACTTCATTTGTTACCCCTTTAGGACAATATGAATTTCTTAGGATGCCCATGGGTTTAAAAACTGCGCCACATGTATTTCAAAGATTTGTTAATAACATATTTTGTGATATGATAAAAGATAATAAGGTAATTGTTTACATGGATGATATTATGATAGCAAGTACAAACATAAAGGAACACATGGAGACCTTAAAGGAAGTGTTTATAAGACTGGTGCAAAACAAATTAGAGTTGAAATTAGATAAGTGTGAATTTTTTAAAAGCAGCGTTAAATATTTAGGATTTGTGGTGGATAGTAAAGGCGTTAGGGCTGATGAAAAAGGGTTAGAAGCGGTTAAATCCTTTCCAATACCAAACAAAATTCAGGGAGTACAAAGTTTCCTAGGGTTATGCTCCTACTTCAGGAGGTTCATTTTAAACTTTTCTATATTAGCTAAACCCTTATATGATTTATTGAAAAAAGATAAGAAATTCAAGTTTGGAGAAGAGGAGTTTAAGTGTTTTAATATGTTAAAAGATAAATTGTTAGAGGCGCCAGTACTATCAATATATAATTACAAAGAAGAAATAGAACTACATTGTGATGCCAGCGCAGTGGGATTTGGGGCTGTTTTATTTCAAAAAAAAGAAGATAGGAAATTACACCCGATTTTTTATTTTTCTAAAAGAACAACCGAAGTAGAGTCTAAATATCATAGTTTTGAGTTAGAAACGCTAGCCATCATTTACGCATTACGCAGATTTCGTATATATCTACAGGGAAAACGATTTAAAATAATGACAGATTGCAACTCTTTAACTTTAACGCTTAACAAAATAGATTTAAATCCGAGAATTGCTAGATGGGCGTTAGAACTACAAAATTACGATTTTGAGTTAGTGCATAGATCGGGCAAGCAAATGCAACATGTGGATGCGTTAAGCAGATGTTATGAGGACATTTTAGTTATTGAATCCAATAGTTTTGAGGACAATTTAGTTATTTGCCAAAGCAAAGATGACAAACTGGTAGATATTAGAAAGATGTTAGAAAAAGAAGAGCACAAGCTATTCGAAATGAGAAATGGGGTCATTTACAGAAAAACAAATGATGGCAGATTAGTTTTTTATGTACCAAAGGATATGGAAGAACATGTACTTTACAAATATCATGATGAGTTGGGACATGCTGGGAGAGATAAGATGATCGATGCCATTGGAAAGAGTTACTGGTTCCCATATATTAAGGAAAAAGCAATAAAGCATATAGGGAATTGTTTAAAATGCATTGCCTTCGCCCCCAAGACGGGTAAGAGTGAAGGACTATTACATAGCATACCGAAAGGAAACAAACCGTGGGAGATGATCCATATAGACCATTATGGACCAATTAATGCAGGAAGGGCTAATAAATATATATTGGCGGTAGTTGACGGATTTTCAAAATTTGTTAGACTATATACAGCAAAGACAACAAGTACGAAAGAAGCGATTAAGGCATTAAAAGATTATTTCAGAGCGTATAGTAGACCTAAGTTCATTGTATCGGACAGAGGGAGTTGTTTTACTGCAAAAGAGTTTGATGAATTTTTAAAAAATGAGGGAGTAACGCATATTAAAATAGCAACGGGTTGTCCGCAAGCAAATGGTCAGGTGGAAAGGTTGAATAGGGACTTGGGTCCGATGATGGCAAAAATGGCGGAGCCAGAAAATGGTTTACATTGGGATGTTATTATAGAAAATGTTGAATATGCAATAAACAACACACAACACAAAAGCATAAAGAAATTTCCAAGCGAAATGTTATTCGGATTACAACAGAAAGGAAAAGTTGTTGATGAATTAAAAGAAAAATTAGAAGAGTTTACACAGGTGAACACGTGTGATAAAAGAAATTTAGAAAATATAAGAAAGAGTGGAGAAATATATCAAAAAGAAGCTCAAATCAGAAATGAAGAGCGGATTAATAAAAAGAAGAAAGTATCAGTAGAATATAAAATAGGTGACTATGTCATGGTAAAAAATTTTGATAGCACACCAGGAGTTTCAAAAAAGTTAATACCAAGATATAAAGGGCCTTATAGTATAGAAAAGATTTTAAAAAATGATAGATACTTGTTAAAGGATGTAGAAGGCTTTCAATTATCTCGCAACCCGTACGTTGGTATCTGGAATAGCCAAAACTTTAAGCATTGGATGCGAAAATAGGCAATAAGCATTAGTTATAAAGATAGATACACATATAAAAGACAGAGATCGGGAGCTCTCTTTGTCAGGATGGCCGAGTTGTAATAGGATAAGAGCATCATTGGTAACCCTAGCCAGGGTATTATAGTGTCACTATCTATGTTAATTATAACAGTACGATAAGTAAATATCGATAAAGAAAAGCGGCTGCAGAGAAGAAGTGGAAGGCAGTCTCTCTACAGTACTAGCAGTAAGAAGACGTGTTGTTAAAAATAAAAAGGCAACCCGAACATAAGTTAAATCAACGAAGAAAATCATACTATTACAATAGATAGATAGACAGGAAGACAAACACACAGACAGACACACGGAAGGGCGGACAGACAGATAGAGAGACAGAGAAACAGACAGACAGACAGACAGACTAGTAAATGGACAGCCGGATATGGATATATCAACAGAGCTTTTCGTCCCGACCATTTGCTCAATGCGTTGCATATCTTGTGATGATTTATTAAAGACCCTGCAATGATTTCTGGTGCTGACTATTGACGCAGGTCGTCGCTGTGAAATGCGTCTGATGCTAACAAAAAAGAACAGACAAGAAATATGTCAAATTCATGCCTGACTGCACGCACCCACTCAACAGTTTGTAGGGCAACATTTTTATCAAAGTATTTCCCTCCAATATGGTGAAGGCAGCATAGCGTACTAACTGCAGCCAAGCTCAGCTGTTTGACTTTTCAGCTGCTGTGTGTGTGTGTGTGTGTGTAAGTGTGAGTAAGTTGTCGGCGTTTTCTGCTGCCCTTGTAGTAACACCCACGGCCGTGAGTTGAGTAGAAACATAAACAAACGCCCACATGCAGTTGGCTGCTCGTATTTTAGCTCAATTATGCTGCCAATTGGCTTCCCATTCATAAAAGTTTTACGCATTGAGGACTTAATCTCGCACTTAAGCAGCTTTTGCTTGAGGCGCTATTCGCTGCCTAGTCTTAAAAGATTGCCGAGTGCAATCAGCTTGACACTGGACCAGTTCACAGCCAGTGCCCACGCCAAACACTTGACGGATTATATTCTGCATCCCGCGGATGCCGGAAATGGTCGCCAATTGAATGCTACAACCGATCCGATTGCACTGCGCTATTAATACCCTTGTCGAGGGCATTACAATTTTGTCACGGAATGCGTCTAAAGAGGGAGACTATCACATCTCAAAAGGTATTTATATTGCTGATCCATTTCTTTGTTCCTATACAAAGTCGTCGCCCAGCTTAAAGGCTTACGTCATGAAACTTTATGTTGCAGCTAATACATATGACAGAATCGAAGAAATCGGATACAACTGTCAAAGGAATAATTTGACAAACACAATATTATGGCTTGTTAACTAGTTTCCCCTTGCATAAATAATCTTATCTACATCAGAGTTCTTTAGCCAATAGTTCTGTAGGACGAATCGGGCAAAACCAATATGACATATATTTCCATACTTTCAAGATACCATGATCAAGCCTTATTGGCTTAGACTTCAATCGGTTTAGAAGGGTATTACATCTTCGGCGTGCTAAAGATTGCCGTTCTCTCAAGCTATTCAATACACAGATGATAGATAGATGTCACCTCCAATGTGCATTTAATGTGCAATTAACCTTAATACTATTATTGATGCCCAATTTTCTAAATTTATGGTCATGGTATCACCCTTTTAGCCAGTTGCTTGGGATGAAACTTGAATTTAAGGTTTTTTTTGTTTTGAGATTAGATGTGCGCACCAACTATGTTAGCACTTTGTCTGAGTTTTGCTTCAACTGCGTTTAACTAATATACCCATTTTCACTTGGAGAAGATAGTAAAAAAAAATTTAAAAATTTAAAAAAAGGGGTTCGCGTTGCTATGGCTAATAATGCGAACAGAACTGCGCCAAGCTAAGCCCCAGTGCACACAAAAATGACAAGCCAATCACAGGCTCGACTCTGCTGCGGTCGTTGCAGCGTATTAAAAATAATGTTGCATACACCCGGGCGCAGCGCAGAAATATTAAACCTATACAGAAAAAACGGTTGCTTGTTACTGCTGATACTCCAATTAAGTGGACTCAAGTCAACGAATCTAGCAAACAAGCTCAAGACAAACTACACTAAAGAAGCGTACATAGCGAATTGAATGAACAATAATAAGGGAACAATTGCGCCAATTGTAGATAGCTGCCATATAAATATGCCATATATATATATATATATTTTTTTTATAAGCTGGTCATTATTTTAGCTTAAGTTGTTTGCTGTACAATTGTATATAAATATTAGGTTATACTTATGGATATTATGAATTTATCTCGTTTAAGTACCTGCAGTTGTTTGCACCATTTTGCCAGCACCCAAAGCTGTGAAGCTTTTAACGTTTACACACGCGCGCGTAATGTATATATGTATGTATATATATGTATATATAACTGTATATATGTATATATATCTAGGTATACGGTATGTATGTTATGTAGTCTGTCTGATTGTTGGTTTCTGTAGCTGTTGTTGTTATTGTGTGTGCGGTTTCCGTCTAGGGCTAACGCTGCGTATACGCAATTTCTTGTTAACTGCCTTCTGTTTACGTATAATAATGCTAGTCTTTTCACTTTCGCTTTCACTTTCACTTTCACTCGTTCAAGTCGGCTGGCTTATTTACTAGTTGCTGGCTGACTGCGTTTTATAAATAATTTGGCATGCTGCCGCTAGGGAGCAACGCTCGCTGCTGCTGCTGTTCCTGTTGCTGTTGATGTTGCTGTTGTTGCCATTGCCAGAAACCAGTGCCCCAGAGCAAAGAGTTGTGGTCGGAGGGTTGAGGCGCTAGAGCAAGAGCTTACCTAAATGACTCTACTGCTGTATGAGGAAAACTTCTGAATTCTTATTACTGCCTGTGCTAGCGTCCGTCTCTCTGTGAGTGTGTGTGCTTCTGCGTGCGTGTGTGTGTGTGTGTGTGTGTGCATGTAATATATGTGATAATAATTTCTAGCGAAAGCGTGACGTCTGCACGCGACCAGCTCAAAAATTTAACTGAAAGCTAGCATTCGTTGCGTTCCACAAATCCACGACGCTGTTACTACTCACATTGCTGTTACTGTTATTGTTGCTGTTACCGTTACTGTTGCTGTTACCGTTACCCTTACTGTTACTGTTGCCTGCCTGCCTGCATGCCTATATCGGCATGCCGTGCCAGCCAGCTACTGCACTATGGGCACCAAAAGTTTCTTAAAATGTTTAAATATGTTCGTTTTATTGGGGACTTTACTTTGAGGAAGTCCAGAGTGGGATATAACCTCAATAGGATATTTTTATTTCCACATGGCGTGCGATTACAGCATTTTTCTAGGTTCTCTTTTCTGTAAGTAGTGTAAGTAAGACTTGCAATTTCGAACGTAGGCTTTGAGAAGATTTCCAAATAAGAAATATTTCCTTATCTAGTTAATTTTTTATAATGTTTAAAGGGCTTTTATCTTTTGACTTTCCATTGGTGTAAGGCCTTACGAAATCGATTGACATTTACGAAAGTTTCTCAAAATTAAACATTTTAAAATCTTATTTATAAAAAAGAAAACACGTTTTTGAAAAGTTTTCAACAATCAGTTCGCTTTTAGTTACCCTGAAAACTATCAAAATATATCGGGTTTGATAATAAATAAATTTATGTTGCATAGTGTAAACAAAAAATTGTTCATTTTCGTTTGGGATTAACTTAAAGTAAAACCCATTGTCGATGGAGCGTACAATGCTACCTGAGGCTATCTACAATAGTGACAGCTGGTTTCTTGTATGCTCTTAGAAATGCAAGGGTTTTGGCCAAAAATGTTGATTTCTGGCCCATAGTCCAAATGGGAGCAATTAAGGTTCTGCTGCCGCGTCAGCTCTTCGGCCCTCCATCACTTTCAACGTTGCTTTGAAGCTTTTTGAAATCGCTGCCCTTTGGCCCTTGCCGTCTCGCTTGCACGTGTGGAATACTTTTGGGTATCTGTGTGCGTTTCTGTTATTGTTTTATGTTGTGTGTGCGTGTGTGTGTGTGTATATGTGCATGTGCGTGTGTGTGTGTGTGTGTTTGTGTTTGTGTGTGTGTGTATATGTGCGTTGTGCGTTGCTGACGTCGAACGCTGTTTGACACATCTTGCCACAAGCAACAGGACAAGCTACCCGGCTCTGGTCCCGGCCCTGTTCACTTCCTGCCCCAAATTCGGCAGCTGCTGCTACTGTTGCTTCGCATTTGGCGAGTTTGCGCGCTGCGCTTACCCCAACCCGCAACGCCCCTGATCCTACTCCGGCTCCTGTTCCTGTTGCTTGCCGTGGCGTCACTGGCCCCGGATGCCTAACCTGCCTAACTCTGGTTTCGTGTGTGCCCAATATCCAATCTGGCCCCAAAAAACCAACCACAATTGTCATCAGAATGTTTCGAGCGCTGTGCGAAATTCTAGCTGTCAGCCCATTAGCCTATTATCGATTTACGGAGAATATTTCAAGTTTTCAAAACCATCTAACTACGAAACATATCTAGTTTACGTTTTTCTTCTAGATCAACCAACTCGCCTTGGCAAACTGATCCACTGTACTGTTAAGTATGCTAAGGGCTAGAGTTTTAATTTATACATCTACATAACGTACAAATTATAATATATATATTATAAAAATAGGTCAACGCAAGAAACATAAACTTGTGTACTGAATATAGGTCAAACAAAAGAACGCTAAAATGTTTTTGGCGTGCATTTACCGCAGTAAAGCTGCCAACTACTTTTTAGTTGTAAAATAAAACCGCAAATCCCCGTTTCCCTGAATATGCTCGGATTTGTGCGAAGTATTTTAAGCCATTCAAAGGGTATGCTCACTTTTTGTATATGCGAATTTATCATATAAACATTTAATGCTCCTAGATTTAAAAAATTTGCTATTGTCATAAATTTCTCAAATATTAATAAGAAATATTATAAAAATAAATAAATAAAAAAATGAAAATGTTGAATACATTTTTTGTTTCAACATAAGAAGAATTAATATTAAAACTTCTATTACAAAATAATTATCTATGCTTTTTTAAGTCATGCAACCATTTTCCACCAATATACCACTGTGGCGGGTGAAATTAACCCATTTTCACTGAAACACCTATTCATTAAGTTCTTATGTAAAATCCTTGAAAATAAGTTTAAAGCAAATCGAACAAAACTTGCAACTTCACAAAACAAAAATTTGTCAATATTTGCAGAGCTTAATCTAGGTTTCTGATGGACTTTATAAATTTCTAGTTAACTGCTGAAACTTTAATTTAATGTGAGCGCTTAACCAATATTTTTTCTAAAAATAAATTAAAGAAATATGTAATATTCGTATATGTAACATTGTGTATGCAATATTGTATATTGTGTATTATAAATCGTAAAATAAAAATTGTATATAGTGTTTTAGTTTTAGTGCGATTTGTTGCATCAAAAATGAAGCTTTAATCATGTGAAGAATATTTTGAACAGGCATTGAATTTCTCTGCCATTTATACTTACCACAGGATCTATTGAATCGATGCAGCGTGTCTGCGGTATTTAGTTAATTGAACACTTCACTTTGAAATTAACACAATTTATTTGTTTGGTGTTGTAAACAATTTTGCATATTTCACATTTATTTGTATCGTTTGTCAATTGTTCGTTTTGTTTTTAAATAAATGTATGTCCGTATGTATGTAAATATGAATATACATATATTTAATTTCACTCCCAGATATATATATATATAATGGCATTTTGCTAACTTGTTTTCAGTGTATGCTTGTAGTGGTACATTTTGGAGTACATATATGCACATGTGTATGTCGACACATGCGTGTGTGCATGTGCGCATATGTATGTATTAACGAGTAAATGCTCAGAGCTTTGGTTACGCTCTAGCCGCAAAACTTAACATAATATTCATGTATATATTGACTTATATGCGTGTATATATTTAATTATATATATGTTTACATGTGTTCGTTAATGCTCTCTACATATGTTTATATATATATATATATATATATAACTAGTTCAGGTAATATTTAAATTATAACGCGATAGACCTAAGAGTTGTTTGTTTTGCAATTTCCGCTCGTCGAATATGTGTATCAAAAGTTTTATCAAATCTTGAAATCATTTGCATCTCGTATTCTAGGCATTATTCAAACTCTTACCCGAACCTAGTCCTATGCGACCTTTAAATTTTATATAAATTATAATTGTATCAATTTATGTATAATTTCATTAGCGCTTACAAAAATATCAATATTTAAAGAAGCAACAAGAAATCACATTAAGTTTTTTTTATATATATTTTTGTTGTTTGTTTGTTTGTTTGTTTGTCCTTTGGTTGAGGGGAAGGGTGTTTCTATACACAAAAAGCGTGCGTTTCGCATTTACCTAATTGGGTTTATGTATGTATAGTATATGTATATATATATGCACTACGTGAGTGTAAACAACAAACCTTTTAGCCCAATGGAGGGAGTTTTTGGTGCGCCTGCACAACAAAAATAATAAACCAATATGTGCTCTAGTCGTGTGGGCACGACTAGCGTATACCCTGTACCCTGTCTATCTGTGTAACTTTTGCAATTTGTTCTTTTAAAACTTTTTTCATATTTCTATGTTACAAAATTGCATTGCTACTTTTTGAACCTTCTTTTCGTTCTTCTATTTTTGGTAAGGAATTTCATAGGTAGGATATTCAAAATTTCGAGCAAGCCTTTTCACTGTGTTGTGGTCATATTCTTATTATAAGCGGACTCACATCAGAGAGATTTATCTATGTGCAATTTGATCAATTGATTGGGTACAGGGTATAGGTATGCCTGAGAGTATTTCCATCGAAATCGGCGGAAAGAATTTTAAGTTGTTTTGATTATTGAAAACATTTTTTTGCTTTTGCTTGGTTATAACAATATATATAAATACACATGCAAATTCATACACCTAATATGTATATTATTATGTGTTGTATATTACGACAGGCATGCCATCGATCCGACATTATCATTATATAAATATATATCATACATTATTGTAACTAGCAAACAACATATTCGTAACACTTCATAATACACTACAGTTGTTCGAACTAAATCGAGCTGCATTATCTACGCTTCGCATTGGCCGCAATGCCACCCCCGTCTCTCTCCTAACTCTCTCTAGATCTAGTCAAAAATGTTTCTTATGTGGGTAGCTAGATCTATGTTAACTGGCGGCCCGTTCTCAAGTACAAAAGCTCAGCACCAAACCAACCAATTGCCTTGCCCCGCAAACAATTGAAACATTTAGTACTTGTTATATAAATATATATGTATGTATATGTATATGTATGTAGCATATACTATGCACTATGTGTGTACGTGTGTGTATATATATTGTGTGTGTGTGTGTGTGTGTGTGTGTGTATGTGTGTGTGTATTGGTTGATCTATGACAAACCCTAACATACTAATTATGTTAACAATTATGGAAACAGTAGCTGTTTCGTCTAAAACCCGCCCCAAAATCCCGCACAGCATTGCAGTTGGTGCTTATGTATGTTTGTATAATGTATGTGTATGTATGTATATATATATATAATGCGTATATATGTATATACACTACAATATTCTCATCTCTGAATATACAAAACGTATAAATATGCATTGTAACTGCCTCTAAATAGGTATGTATTAATATAAATATATATTTATATATATATATATTTATATATTAATGTATGTATATATTGTATAAGTATAAATATAATATGTTTTGTTTTATGTTTTGTTTCTGTTAACAGCATGTTTAGCGCTTTTTATGTTCAGGTCACTACATTTCTTTACGGCTTAGTTTTCTTTTGCATTTGTCTTTGACTTAATAAAGTGTATTTTATATAAGTTTTCTGTATTTTTTTTTTTTGTAATATTTTTTGTATGTTTCATTCTTGCTTACAACTGAGCTGAGTTGATGCGCTTCTAAAACGATTCCCAGTCACTTAATCAAAAATTGCAAAACAGCCCGTCAAGTGGGCATAAACTTGTTCATTTCTACACAATCGCAGTGTTCGTAAATAACTGATAAACGATATCCGATAATCGATAACCGATAATCGATAACCGATAACTAACTAACAACTGCCCCAAGAGCGTTCGGTGTCCTAACGGTGCATTTCATACAGCTACAGATACTTCTTTCTCTCTCTCTCTCTCTCGCCTCTTTCTTTGAGTTGCAACCAGAATCTACATTAGTATGCAATACTTAAGTGCTCACTACTACATATGCTATATATATATATATATCCAATACTGTTTCAGGAAGTACGGATGTTATGTATTGCAGGTGACAGAAACGAGAGCTAACCAATTTGTTGAGCCTACTATGTGCTAGCTTATAAACGTTTGGGACCGCACTCAACCACACTGACGCTCACATATACACAGAGACGCATGCACGCACACACTCGCAAGCAAAGCCAACACTCAAACACACATGCACACTCAAAAATTACACACATACACACACATGCAACTAGGTGAGCTACATAGCCAGTTCCAGTTCCGATTCCCATTTTCTTTCCAGTTTCATTTTGAGTGAGTTGCTCCAAATTGTGTTCCCCTGTGAAACTTATTTGTTCTCAATTATTGTCTGCAATTGCAGGACGAGACTGCGAGATAGCTGCAGTATCGACTGGGCATTATGACGCTCGGCCATTTCTGAAATTAAAAACAATATGCACAAGCATTTATGAAAATATGTAAACACAAAACAAGTTTAAGTCTACCCGTACTATCTTAGAGTTAAATTTTACTTAAATATTTTCAATCGATATTCGATTGCAGAAAACGTCTCAAATGCACTTTCATATAAAACCCCGAAAAGGAGTTTCAGCCCGAAACTTCGCCCACCAATCGTTGACCCCCATTTCCACCCCGAAGGGGGATAGATTTCGAGAAAAGTGTAAAACACCAATCAAATGAATTTAAGCAAAGATATTTTGAAATTAGTTTAAAGACTCTCGCATAAAGGACACGTCTCAAATGAATGAACGAAAAATGAAGATCCTTGAAAGTGAGTTTGAGCCCGAAACTGCACTCATAATTCGTTGACTCCCGATTCCACCAAGGACTAATGGATTTCCAAAAAAAAAAAGTAAAATGCCACATAAGTGAATTTGAGCAATTATCATTGAAAATGAGTTTGACAAAGTAGCATGCAACCGTTTAGAGACTCTAAACTTTAAACTGTGCGTTGATCATGAGTCAGTCAGTCATTCAGTGAGTCAAAACAAACAGCTTCAAATATATAAGTGACTATACCATTAAAGAACTTGATGACATCTGTAAAGTCCATGCTGTTGGACAAGATGATATCGCGATAGGTTTCGAGCAGCGCCAGCGCCAGGAAGAGCACAAAATGCCCGGAGGCAATATGTTTGGCTGCCCAGATGACCTCCCAGGTGGCAAAGACATCGTCATAGATGAGCTCACGCTTGAAATCCAAGAGGAACCAGCGGTAACAGAAGTAGAAGTGGGTGTAATCGCCATTCGAGTCCATCAGGTCGTACATCTCTGAGTCGAGTATTTGGATGAGCGAGCTGGAAGATATCGGCGAAAGAGCAGGTCAGCATCTGTTCAAGATTGCATAGATAGACAGATAAATACCGCATATTGGCGAAATGCATGTCCATGGCACCACCGCTGGGAAAGTTCTCGATCATGCGCTCCATGAGCTTGCAGAAGCAGCTGTAGCTGAGCGACTCATCATCGAAGATGACCAGCAAGGGAGCGACCAGATCGCACATGCCCTGCATGTAGCCCACGTCCAGGTGCTCCCACACATACGTCGATATCACATTGCGTAGCTTGTCCAGATTCTCGCTGGCAAAGTACCAATAATTTCGATCGCAGCGCTGCACATCCTTCTCGATCCGATGCAGATTGAGGCCAAATTGTTCCAGCAGCTCGACGCTGTAGACGCCTCCATTGGAGCTGGCGGGCGAGACGCAGGCGGACTTTGGCTCCTGCAGGGCATCAAGTGAGGCGACAACAGTGATATCCTCGTTAAGCGGCGACATGAGGCTGGTCTTGCGTGAGGTGAACTCTTCGGTGGGTTCGTCGTCATTGCATTGGACATCGAGGTCATCCAGCGAGGCGGCTTCTGTAATGATGACTGCCGTTGCTGGATGCTCTTCATCGTGGCGCACATCATCGGCGCTGTGAAATTTGCTTAACTGACCGTAGGGCTCCGAGTCCATATCCACAGCTATTTCCGCCTCCGCGGCTGCCTCATCTAGGACTTTGACATCTGCCAGATCGGCAAACTCGTTGCCTACCGTCTCGTAGCTGCTGGTGGAGGGTGAACTCTTAATGCTGAGCAACAGTATATTGCCACTGCCATCGAAGCCCAGATCGCCCTCAGCTTCGGAGTCACCAAAACAGTTGTCCTGCAAACGCAGTGGTTCCATGCCATCAATGTTCTGCGACTCCAAGAGTAACTGCTCGCTTAGCTGTGGTGCCACGGCCGACGGATCCGATGATTCCTCTTCATGTTCCACTGTCTCCTCCTGTGCCTGTGCCAGCTGTTCCTCCAATAGCGGCTGCTCATCGTACTCGTCACCCGGATCGGATATGTCCGAGAAATCGTTGTCATCAAATACATCGTTCTCACCCTCGGCCTGCTCACCATTGTCCAGCTCCAGCTGCCCGCCACCATTCGACAGCAGATCATCCGTAGTGAGGGCATTTGCATTGGCTGCCAGTCGTGCCTGCTCCGCACTCATCTTGGCCACAGCCAGGGCCGTCTTCTCCTTTTCGCGCTGTCGCACAATCGCCTCCACGGCCAGCCACTCGCTCATTGTGGTCTCATAGTAGTGTTTGCAGGTCTCGTCCTGCTTTTGACGCTCCTCCGGCGTCGATCCGAACGCGTAGTGGCCAAGCAGATACGGCCACACCTCCTTACGCAGTTCGTGCTCAACACCACCGAAGTAGACCAGACGATAGAGCTCCAATTCACCGGTAACAATGCCATCTACATTCATTGCCTGCCACTTCTGTATGGTTAGCCCCTGCTCGTCAGCGGCCACTGTAACGAAGGAATGGAAGTATGTATTGGAAGATTCAATTTCAATTAGCTGACATTCACTTACAATCTGGGGTTATGCGACCATTGACCAGGCCGGAGAGATGGGTGCGAACCGTGGACAAATGCCGACAGTAGGCCAGCCAGCCGTAGAAGGCGCGCGAGATTATCTGGCGACGCATTGTGGAGCAGACCAGCTCAATGCTGGCCGTTTGGCTGGCCTGTATCAATGGTGGATCTGGGTTGCTGCTCTGGTCAATGGACAAGCTCTTGCTGGAGCAATCGCTACTGCCGGTGGTCGAGCAGCTGCCCAAATGCTTGCGCCGCGGACTGGAGCGACCAAGTTCGAGTATGGGATGTGTAGCCACTAAAAGGAATCAGCAGGGATATTTAACAAATACATGCGTATCGTTGAAAGATCTTACGGAACTCCTCGTGCTGGCTTTTGCTGACTACGCGAAAGACATAGTCAATGGGTGTCTCATCGCTGGATGACTCCATGACCGAGGGCAGGATATGCCGACGCACGCTTTTCGGCCAGGGAAAGAGCTTGCCAATGCCGCGCTGCGACCAGAGCGGCGGATCGAGCTGGCCATGCGGCAGCAGACCCGTTTCCAAGCAACTGAGGAACGCCTGCAGGTGCCCGCCCTCCGGGAAGTGTATGGGCGGCCGTTGTACGCCATCCTGGCCAACTAGTATGATGGTGCCACCGGTGTCACCGCCACGATTCTGATGGCAATGCACATAGACAATCTCGTCCACATTGATGTTAAGCGCGTAGCCCCAGTAGAAGCTCTTGTCGCTGCCATCGCCATCGTTGTAGCCGTTCATCAATTGATTGGGCGTCCATTTGATGGTCAGGGACTGGATGCTCTGGTGCAGACTGAGGTAGCCCGGCATCGGTTCTGCCACATCTTTGGGCAGCACAAGCACATTGTTCTTGCCATAGAGTAGGGTGGTCCGTGAATTTTGATGCAGCGACTCCACATAGTCCTTCGCCACGCTCGCCGGCGAGCAGGCCTTGAAACTGCCGCTGCTCGTGTCCTCCGAGCTGGTGTGCAGGCTGCGCTTGAAATTGATAATGGGCCGATGACAGGTGGGTGGCGTCCGATTGCCCGAACTGATGCGATGGCGCTGCACCTGAAAGCAAATCGAAAAAGGGAACAGCTTAGACAGTTACGTATTGATGCAAGTGCTTTCGGGATTACCAGCTCATCGGCGCAGGGATCGGACCAGTAGTGATCGGCAGTCTTGGCGCGCGTAAACTCCAGAGCACAGGGGCCCACCAGCAGGGAGCTGAGTATGGAACCATAATCGGGATCGGCGACCAGCGCCTCGCGATCATAATAGCTCTGAGCATTGCCCACCAGATGCTCAATAATCTTGGCCAAACGTTTCTCGTAGAGCGCCAGGCGTATCCACAGATATTTGCCCAGCGGGGCCGCCGCACCATTGGCACCCACCGAGGCGACAACCGTATTTATGGTGGTCACCGAGCTGCTGCTGCCGCTACCCTTGCTGAGCAGCTTCGGCTTAATGATGCTGTCACTGCTGGAGGAGGAGCGCTTGCCGCTAACCGCATGGCTCTCCTGGGCCAGCTCTAGCTCCAACAGACGACGGCTCACATAGTCCGCTTCCGGGCAGATCTTTGCTATCTTCTGTATTAGCGCTGTCGTCGATGAGGTCTTGAACAGGCCCAGGGCGCGCCGCCGCAGGCCGTGGCTGAGGCAGGCCTCGACAGCGGCACAAAGCGATGTCACTGAGCTGCTCTCCTCGTGCACATACTTCTTGGTGACCGCCTCCTCCATCAGTTGTTTTACCTCCTTCTTAACGCTCGCAATCAGGCGCTCCTTCAGCTCGCACTCTGCAAAAACCAGCACAGTTTTGGCCAAATTAATGTCAGGAAGCTAGTCCTAAAATTTGGCATAATTCTATTTCAATGACGGTCCTCAAGCCTTACAATGAACGACATGTCAGAAGCTGCTCCATGTGTATTCCATGTGTCTATTCTCGCCCCGCCCCCCTACGGATTGCATTTGAACTTAAGGCCAGACCGCTGTCAATCATTTGGCCATCACTGTCAATTCTGTTTCGGAGCAAATCGTTGCTACCAACAAGCATCTATTTATGTATGTATACTATTCATGGATGTATTCACAAATATGCAAATGCCATACGAAAAAGAGCCCAAAAGGCGCGCTTCTAATTAGAATGCAAATAGAATAGAAAGGATTTGGCCCAGCGGCAACGTGACATGGCAACCCAATGGCGTATTCCATCTTTAAGCGCATCTCAAATATTTTGACCAGACTCCAAAGCGGTTTTCGTTTTGTTTATTTTGTACAACAGCAAAACTAACGCATGAACTTTAAAGGCTATTTTCAAGCTTTCCGAATTCATTTTAAGGCAAGAACATTTTGCAATTCAGCTAAATTCCAACTTTACAGCTAACACACACATGAAATACATTCACCTAAACGAATATCCGACAAGATTTCCTTAAAGATGATTTTAAGATATAGTTATAAATCATATATACATATATTGAAATCGTCTACAAATGAATAGTTAAGTGTTAGCCTATTTAACCCGGACCTGGTGTATGTCTCCAAGCCAGATTTCACTGATTTTCCGATAACAGGGGTGGAATTGGTAAACTTTGATCAGTAAAGTGAGTTTCAACGTAAATGCCGTATTCGCTTTTATTATAGAGAATCTTAAATAAGGTTTCGAATTATAAGCAAGGTTTTCCAGTCCATGAACTTAGTGATTGCTTTCTTTTATATCAGTTTAATCTGGATTGTGTCTTGTAGGTATTTGATTCATTCTAATTGGAAACGGTTCCATGACAAGATTGAACATAGTTTGCAAATATTGATTCTAGACCCATGTGCGTATTTAGTTAAAGGCGATTTAGTAGCTGCGGTCTGCCCAGTTGGCGTCCGTTTGAATTATGCATTAAACAATTCAATTAAAAAGAAAGCAAGACGCCTGCCACTACGCAGAGCCGCCAGCCGGGCTGGGTCTGGTAACCTTGACTCGCCAATGGCAATGGAACAGAGCAAAATGTACAAGAACAAGAACTAGAAGAAGAAGTAGAGAAAGAGGAAGAAGAGGAAGAGAAAACAACAAAGAAATAATGAAAAAGCAAAACGAAGAAAAGCTTGCGTGAATCGTAAACTAGACAATGTGTGTACCCAGCGTAGGGTGTATCGCTGGCCTCGCCGCGGACAGAGGGGTGGATGGATGGAGGATTGGAGAAGGGGAGGGGGTGGGGTCTGTATAGGGAAGAGACTGGATGTGGGTGCGTGCACCTGCGACGCACACTCTTGACCCTGAACAACATAAAACAGCTGATGACAGGCAAATACAAAAAGCACGCCTGGGTGCGAGCGAGACGACGACTAACACGCAGCGCAGGATGCGAGGCGTGGGAGCAGGACAACGTAAGGCACAGCGAGAAAGAGAGCGCGAGGCAGTGGCAAAGGGAGAGGGAGAATGCAACGTGTGGAGGGATGACAAACATGAGGATTGTGCCTTGCCTTTGCTCGTGCTCCTTTAATTTGCTGTCAGCTCCAACCTCGCCCCATGCCATTTGACCGCGCCATATTGTAAATGGAAGCTGGACCCAAACATATGTTTGCCACCCAACTGAAACAGTATTATACACACACACGCACACAGGCACACTCATGTGGAAACTGGGGAGGCTAATCGCATTGGCAACTTTGAAACATTGCCGGCAAATCAGGCGGGCTTCAACTATTTCTCCAACTTACTTGAACCCTATCTAAAATTCTGTGGCTGAATAGGACTATCTGTCAGCTAAGGATCAGAGGCTAGGGCAGACAGGTTGGCTGAAGGATTCAGTAATGATAAGTAAGCCTTAATATATTTATGGGCAGTTCAAGGACTACGCTAATGTTACTCGTACTTTTTCAGTATGTAGAAAAACAAAAGAAAAACTAAATCTTAAATCTTGTCAAAAAAGGAAAATTAACTTTAACTTAAGTTTTTTTAAAATATTCTTTTTTTCTGGGACAGAAAGTCAGCAGATTGGGAGGAGATTTTTATCTCTCACTCTTAAAAATTGACATTAAACTTAATTTGTAATTAGTTTAAGCCGCAAGCGACATTTTAAATATCTCCTGTCACTTATTTGTTGTACACGCAAGGTCAGCTCTTAGTTGACATTGAATATAAAACATTTGGTCTGGTCGAAGGCAGCTTTTTTCAGCTGTTGTTTTTTTTTTTTTTTTTAATAATGTGAACCTAAACAGACAAGCAGCGCAAATGCAAGTGCCGCTCGGCGAGGCAGTCATTAAAAACCGATATTTACTCAATTAGCGCGACAAAGGCAACGCAGTTAGTCCTCAGACTGGCAGGGACAGCCGGACAGCCGGACCGCCGGACAGCCGTACAGCTGGACAGCCGGACAGCCGGACGGCCGGACAGACAGTGCGGAGCTGCGTTCAACAGGCCACGCGCCACAACAAGCCAGTTCGTGGAAGTGATGAATGCAAATTTGTGCGCGTGGCCCTGAACTTTTGCTTTTTACTTTGACGCTGCAGCGAACTAAACGTCAGGTGGCTTATTTAATTGGCCGCCATATTAAGCGGCCCGGGTAATGTTGGGGTGGGCGTCGGTGCGGGCGCACGTGCGCGCACATGGCTTGTCAGATAAAGCATCCTCTTCAAAGTGCATTTAAGCACTCGATGCCAATTAGTGGCCAATTTGCATTTGGAATTGCGAGCCCGACTAAGCAGCGGACTGCAGGCTCCCATAACTGGCAGGTGAATGCGGGCACACAAACAAGTCTGCGGATTAAAGAGCACTTAGCATGTCATTATTCTGCCGTCTTTAAGAGAGGCCCAAGAGTACGCGTCCATTGCAGGCCAACTTATTAAACATAATTTGGAATCAGCAATAGACCGCTCGTTGAGAAAACAACGAACAAGTACTCCGAGTCACTTGTATGGCATTCTTTAATTAGCCATCTGTTTGGAAATAACAAATGTGAGCTCATTTACGATAATAAAGATAATTCGTTGCTGCAGGTTCATGTTCTTGCTTATCGTGTACCTATCGCTTATATTCATTGCTGTCAGTCTAATGTGATTCCAACTGGGAGACATTAGGTACTAAGGAGTACAAACACATTTTTAGTGAATGTCCAGCTTTGTTCTGGGAAAAGGGACAGTAATCAGAGGTAATGAGTCTGCAGCGAATGCCCGGATTAGGACTGCCTCCACAAAAGACCTGCTCACCCTCATTAGGCAAATGGAGTTGCTTTTGTCCTTGCAGGGACCTGATGGTACAAAAGACCTTTTTGAGGTCGTAGTGGCACCAGCTCTTCCCTATTGTATGACTGCTTTTCGTTTAATAAGAATAACTAAGCGGGTAATATATTTTTAGAGCAGTAAGCAATTAAGCGGTAATAGTAATATTTAAGTTTTAAGCATGTTTTGTACATGGGGAAAAAATGCCGCGAAACTTTCGCCTTGGGCAAAATTTAGATGCAGCCGTAAGAGCTATATTAAAAAAAGTATTTACATTCCAATCATATTAATTAATTTATATATTCCGTTAGCATATCAATAATGTGTTAATTTAATCAATGTGCAGTTACTTTATCCCGGGCCCGCAAAAGTATGCTACACAAAAACGCGCCCAGTATCAATGCGGCATGGGAATTGAAGACTCTACATATCATGCTATCACATATACATACACACGCGTATACACACAAGCACACACACACACACAGCCGACAAGAATTAGAAAAGTTCTGTTGTGAAAGTTTCGATAAACTCTGCATTTGTCTTGCAGAACGTAAAATTATTTCGTTTTCTCACCTTCAGCTGCGACGCTTTCTAATCATGGGCAGCACGCACAGACACGCACACACATACATACATATACATATATAAGTTTCTCGTTTTGTATAGACATACATACATACTACTAAGCTACGCATTATACATACATATGTAATTGCCATGCTATCTCTCTTGTTGTCATTGTTGTTGTTCTTTCTGCTGTTGCGGCTTGGGACGCACGGGAAAAACCTGAAAAACTTTTGCTTTTTCTCACTCACCGCTGGTGGCATCGCTGTTGGCATTGGAGGCGCCACCGCCGCTGAAACTGTGTAGCATATTCATTTTTGGACGGTCGTGGTACGTGCCTCGCTGTGAAGCAGGCTCCCGACTGCCGCTGCCGCTGCTGCCGCTGCTGCTGCTGCTGCTGCTGCTGTTTTTTGTTGCTTTTGCTGTTCACTTTCTGAAATATATGTGTATGGCTGTATTTGTGTTATTCTTTGGGCAAATATTTTCAGTTTCAGTTTTGTTTATGCGTCGTCGTTGTTAGTTTCTCTTCTCGCTTTATCCTTTGCCCTGCAATATGCGTTCTCCTTCCCTCTCTCTCTCTCTCTCTCTCACTCTTTCGCTCTTTTGCTCTTTTGATACACTCTCTCAATTGCGTTCTTTCGTTGTCCCAGCTGCTGTTGTTCTTTATGTATATATATATATATATATATATATATATATGTATATATATAATTGTTGTCTTTTTATATATATATATTAATATATTAAGTTTATTATGCAGAAAACCCAATTGTATAAAAATTGTTGTTCGTTGTATTTGAATTCGTCCAAGACCTCATGTTATTTTTTTTTGGCTGTGCTTTTAAGTTGTGCTACGCACACACACACACGGAGGCGCACACATGCAAATACATATATGTGTATGCATATACATACATATGTTGCTGTTGCTCTGCTAGCCGCCGTTAGTTTAGTTGTTTTTGTTGGTGTTGTTATTGCAAAAGCGTTGTCAAGCATGAACTACGCATTTTGGCATATGTGCATATATGCATGTGTATTTACATATGTATGTATGTGCACATTGACAACACTTAAATCGGTTGCTTTACATTTCAGCTGCAAGCGCGTTGTCGCTGTTATTGTTGCCCTTCAATTTGTTGTTGTTGCCACAATTAACGGACGAATAATTTGCTGGGCGGCCCGTTATGCACAGCTCTTTGTGTTGCATACTTTCTTGGGCTCTCGTTCTCACACCATTTTGCCTCCACACTGTGTGCGTGCGTTTATGTGTGTGTGTCTGTGTGTGTGTGTGTGTGTGCCCGCTTCCGTCTATTTGCTGTTCTCGTCCGTTTCCCAGCAGCTCCGTTTGTGTACTAACGGCACCTTATTGACATTTACATTCACGACGCCAAGCCGCTGCCAGGCATCCCGCAGGCATCATTTATCGATAATTGTCGATACATCTATCTAAAGTTCAGTGCTGAATAGCGCGTTTTTTGAATAATTTAAATTCCCATTAATTTGTTAACGAATACTGAAGATTTTTTAAGCTCTCATTTTTACTCTGGGATATATTTGTTATTTACTATACTTTACTTCTTCAATGTAACTTTCCTGTAAAGCTATCAATATTTGTTCCGTGTTTTAACAGACAGAGAATAGATAAACATCGAAGTTTTCGAATTCCCTATCGAAATAACTAAAATCACAGACGAGAGCGAGTAAGTGAGGGGGCGCAATTGAGAGTGAGTGCGCAGATTGACAGAAATAGAGACAGAAAGACCAGGCGAGAGAGCAAAGGAGGGAGAAAGCAAACAAACTTTTCAAAGAAAGAGAAATAAACAGTGTGCGACAGAGAAATGGCTTGTATTACCCAAGTTTTTTTCGAATCACGGCGATCCGACTTGTTGCGATTATTTATAGTAAGACTCGAATAACACCAGACAGATTTCATGAAAAATTCAAATATATTTCACAGTAAACAATCCAAATGTAAACAACATACATTTGCTACCGATAAAATATCCACACTTCAGTATATAATGCTGGCAAGCTAACAGACGGTATACAATTACTTTGTACTTAAACATATCTTTTGGAATGCCTGTATATGATGCATATTTCAAATATTTAACAAATTCAAATGACTAACTAACATCAATGGCATCTCCACAGGCCAATTGCTGCTTCTGTTTATCGTCCGATTCACTGGGTACACGCGAGATGTAGATGCCGAACCTCATCTTGCCGCTCTGCATGCGGGCAATGGTCGTGAGCGTCTCGGGAGAACGCTCGCCGGTGCGCTGATTGATGCAGATCATGTCACAGCGCTGACAGGGACCATCCACCTGGAAGAGGACATCGCCAATGCGCAGCTGCGCATACGCCAGCTCTTCGAAGGGCATGCCCGTGTCAATGACAATGTTGGCACGGAATCGATCGACTGTCTCGTCCAGCGCCTCCTCGAACTGCAGCGAACGCACCGAGGCGCGATTGACGAGCAGAAACTGAGCTTGGTTGACCAAACTGAGCTGCTGCTGCTGCGAGCCCGGTGCGCTGCGCTGTGCCGATTGTCGCAGCAGCCGAAGCCCCTCCAGGCCGAGCTGCTGGCTTAGCCAAGTGGCCACCTCATCACCACAATCGTAACCCTCAATGGGCTGACGGCAGACCTTGCTGCGACAGCGTGCCGAGTTGGCGGCCTGAACGCTCAGCGAGAGGGGCACGGAGCAAAAGGACTCGGAATTCGCGCCACAGAAGTGCAGCTCCAGTTGATCCCGAACGACGCGTGGCTGTACCAGGCAGAGATCCGTGCAGCGTTTTTGGGTTAGCGCCATGCCATTAATGTCCACAATCATCCACTCGCGATCGTACTGCAGTCCCTGATGAGTTAAGGGCCAACAAACGGCGTCCCGCTCGATCTTGAACGCGGCACATGACTTGACCGGATAGATGGCCAACTGCAGCAAGCGTGGCCGCAAACGCTGTGCCCGCTGCTGCAGCACCTTGGGTAGCAGCTCCGCCTGTTGTTCAATGAAGCTGAATCGCTGCTGCGGCTTGCTGTGTATATAGCTGGCGCGTAGCATCTGCAGCAAGCGCTCAACATCTTGGGCACGTGTCATGTAGCCAAAGGAGACGCGTACCGCACCCGTCGGCTGTCCATCCAGCAAATCATAGTAATCGCCGCAGATGCGGCCGGCGCGCTTATAAATGGCATCCATTGTATCATCATTCAATTGCAAAAAGTGCTGGCAGGCGCCCAAGTTGCAGAAGCAGCCCGTGCGCAACAGTATGCGATGCAGTGCAGCCACGCAGGCCACCTCACCGAAGCCCACATAATCGCCAGCATCGGTGCGCACGTTGAAGGCCACAATGCCGCCTTGCTTGGCGAGATCACCATAGCCGGCATGATTATAGAGCGTGACGAGCGGTGCGCCGTTGGGATGCTGCAGCTGCTTCAGCTGCTGCTCACAGTAGCGCGCCAAGCCATGCACATGCCTTGAAATGCGTTCCATACTGCGGCCGGGCACCAGGCGTTCCAGCGTACGAAAGCCCTGCAGCAGCTCCACAATGGACAGAAAGGGTAGCGTTCCATCTTCGAAACGTTCATGAAATGTGCTGCGCAACTGATGCTCCATGGTGTGTGGATAAGCGTAGTTGATGGTGCCGCCGCCATAGAAACGTTTGCGCAGCACATCCGCGCCGCGCTTACTTACCAACAGGGCGCCCACGCCCGTCGGATAGCCAAAGATCTTGTAGAAGCTAAGGCACACAAAGTCCGGCCGATAGCGCTGCAAGTCAAGCGGGCTGCTTGCGGCAAAGGAGGCGGCATCCAGGCACACATAATAATTGTTGTTGTTCGTGTTATTCACGCGTTCTCCAGCCGGCTCTGTCCAGATGCACTTGCCCAGCTGCTGCATGCCACGACTCTGTATCTTTTCGATGACAGTCAGCGGCAGCTTGTAGCCACTGAAATTGCACTGAGCCGAGAACACGACCAGCGAGTTGCCATGTGCTGCTCCAGTCGCTGCAGCTGGAGCTACTGGCCCTTCCACATCGTTAAGCACAATGCTATCTTTGTTTAGTGCATAGATGCGCTTGGCCTTTACCAGCTGACGCATGCCCAGCACCGAGGTATGATTCTCCTGGCAGTAGTGAAAATTTCCATCTTTGCCAAAGTCAAAATGTTCGGCCACCAGACGCAGTGCAGCCGTTGCATTTGCCGTGAAAACTACGTGATAGTCGTCTGCGCTCGTATTGAAAAACTCCAAGATTCTGCATCATACATCAACATTAGGTTAATAAATAGTATGCACTCATCAATAGCCTTACCTGTAGCGCACTTGATCCACGTAGTCGCCGGTGGCGCGGCAGGTGTGCGGATTGCAGATAACATCGCGTTGCAGCTGTTGGGCTGCAGCTGACACTTGGCTTTCGGCATAGAGGGTTGTGCCCGCATGGTCGAGGTAGGTGCTATCTGGTTGAGTGCATGACGTTGATCTCAATTAGATTCTTATCAGTTGCATTGGTTCCTATTTCACCACTTACCCGCAAGTCTGGAAAACTCTTTATCGATCAGCGCCTGCTCTGCAGCACTGAACTCCGCCGTGTATTCGCTCATTATTGCGCATTGGTTAATAGCTTCAGCGGTATTTATGGCCGTCCACAACTTGAAAAACAACCGGTAATTATTTATCAAAATCAGATGTCACACGCCTCCGATATCACATATACATATCGATATATTACAGATCGATACATTAAAACGTTGCCACATGTATGTACATTAGAGGTCATCACTATGTAGCATTACAAACAGCTGCAAGCATGAATAGTGTAAATGTGCGGGCATCATTTTTATATTACTGAGGGTAAAGGTTGCTCATAAACAGGCTCCCATTTGTTTTTAATTTGCGTTAATTTATAGCGTCACGATATTAGCTTCGTACATATTTTGAATATCAATATAGTTTTTGCCGCTTAATCGTGCTTGCATAGTGTAATCGATAGTATCGATAAGAAGCAGCTGCTGCTCTCTTGCCATCTTGCCATCACAAAGACCACCGCAATCTAAACACAATTAGTATTGCTTTTTTTTTGTAGTTTATTGCAAACGTTTAAAATTTTGATACCTAAATATGCCCAAGGAAAAATCGCGACGTCGCAGTCGCACTCGCAGTCGTAGCAAGGACAGAAAAAGCTCACGGACTCACAGTTCTAAGCACAAGCACAAACGTAGCCACGACAAGCATCGGGACAGATCCACAAGTGGGCTCGAACGTGGCCGGGAGAAGGAGCGGGAACAAGAACGAGATAGGAATCACCACAAGCGGAGAGAGCACCGCAGCAGAAGTCGCGATAGAAGCAGTAGGCGGCACAAAGAGCAGAAGCAGCCACGACGCAAAGAGCATCGGACACAGTCATCCTCATCATCAAGCTCATCCACGTCCACATCAGCTTCGTCGTCCGCATCAGCGCCCAAGCAGCGAGATCGCGTTGCAGGCGAAAGGGCAGCAGGTAAACGCAGTCCCGAAATGAATTCAATAAAGCTGCTGCAAACGCTGGAAGAGCGCCGCTTGCGGGAGCAGCAGGAACGCCAGCGTTTAAAGGAGGAGCTAAAGGCCAAGGAAACGCCCGAGGAGAAGCGTGCACGTCGCCTGCGCGAAAAGCAGGCCAAAGAGCAACGGAGACGCCAGCGCATGGGCTGGGACAACGAATACCAAACGTATTCCAACGAGGACAATCCATTCGGCGACTCCAATCTGACCTCCACCTTCCACTGGGGCAAGAAACTCGAGGTCGAGGGTCTGTCCAATCTATCCAGCAAGACGGTCGAAGTGCTGTCGCTGCAGAAGCAACTGGAGAATCGTCGCGAACTGGAAAAGGTCAAAAAGCTGCGTCAAGAGCGCGAATTGGAGCGGCAATCGCGCGAGGACGACGCCATGCAACAGCAGCGTGCCAAGGAAGCGGTTCAATTCCGCGAGTGGCAGCGTCATGAGGATCAGTTCCACCTGGAACAGGCGCGTCTGCGCAGCGAGATTCGCATACGCGACGGACGCGCCAAACCAATCGATCTGCTTGCCCAGTACGTATCCGCTACCAACACAGAGGCTGAACTGGAGGATGCCCTGGAGATGCAAATGCACGAGCCATACATGCTGCTGCACGGCCTGAACATAGATGAGCTGGAGGATCTGCTGGTTGACATCAAGGTGTACGAGGAGCTGGAGCAGGGCAAGCACATGGACTTCTGGAACGATATGGTCACCATTGTGCAGGATGAGCTACAGAAGCAGCACAAGATTCAGCAGAGCGAGGCGAATTCGCTGAACCAGCGTCGCGATGGCATACACCAGAGCGTTGTCAAGGATGTGGCGGACATCTTTCGCGGCAAGAACGCCAAACAGCTGGAGGAGATGCGCGCCCGCATCGAGGCCAAAATAAGCGGTCGTGCCGATGGCGTTGACATTAGCTACTGGGAGAGCCTACTCTCGCAGCTGAAGGCGCACATGGCACGTGCTCGTCTGCGTGATTGCCACCAGGCACTGCTGCGCGAGAAGCTGCAGCTTTTGAAGCGTGACAACGATCCACCAAATGTCGTTGAGATCGTCTCACCATCAGCCTCGCTGTCCATAAAGCAAGAGTCGGACCAAGAAGAGCAGGAGCAGCACGAGGAAGAGGCTGGCCAGCAACAGGAGACATCAGAGGCCGACGAGCACAACTTTGATAGCCCGCTAAGGGAGCTGGAGAACTCGTGCCAAATTTACAAACAGCTCAACTATAGTCCCACCTATATACGCGAGGAAGAGTTCAGCGGTCGCCGTCTGACCGCCGCCGATGAGGACAACATCGATGGCGGCCTGTACGCGGACAGCGATGATGAGCGGCGCGTGCAGCGCCAGCGTTTGCTGTTCGTGCATCCGGAACGCGTTGACCTGGCAATGCTGACGCCGCAAGAGCTGCGAATGCGCGGCGAGGCGCGCAAGGGCATGCAGGGCGACGAGGCTGAGTTCAGTGTGGAGACCACACTGGATGCAGTGCCTCAGCTGGCCACCGATAAGTATCGGCCACGCAAGCCGCGCTACTTTAATCGCGTGCACACGGGCTTTGAGTGGAACAAATACAATCAGACGCATTACGACATGGACAATCCGCCGCCAAAGATTGTGCAGGGCTACAAGTTTAACATATTCTATCCGGATCTCATGGACAAATCGCAGACGCCGCAATACTTTCTCACGCCCTGTGCGGACAATGCCGACTTTGCGGTGCTCCGCTTCCACACGGGTCCACCCTACGAAGACATCGCCTTCAAGATCGTCAACCGCGAGTGGGAGTTCAGCTACAAGCGCGGTTTCCGTTGCCAGTTCCACAACAACATCTTTCAGCTGTGGTTCCACTTCAAGCGCTATCGCTATAGGCGCTAAATGCGCTTTATTGTGTTGTCCTTAAGCTGTTTTTCATTTTTATAATAAAATATATTTGTCTCTTCAAAATTCATATGCTCCGCATTCCATCCGAGCTACATGACAGTACAATCCTTGATGGGCGCCGCCTGCACTGATTCGAGCGGCTCGCCGCGCTCCGCCCGCTGCACCTGGTCGAGCACGCTCTGATGCTGCGGAAAGGCCAAGCTGGCCAGCTTGGAGTGCACCAGCTGATCGTCTATGCTCACCTCAAAGGAGCCGCGTCGTCCCTGACGGCAGGACACCTGCACGCCCGGCGCCGCATCCACCAGAAACTGCCGCAGCAGCTGGCACTGCAGCGAAAAGTTACAGGCTCCGCTGTGAAAATGTGGAAAATCATGGATTAACTACACCCACACAGGCCATATAAGGCATCTGATCCTGAGCTAACCAGTATTCTACGTCCACATTGACCATTGCATAAATGCACCAAACATATGTGAAGCACAACAAACTAAATATTATGGGTATTCCGCCAGCTGATTATTTCTATAAAATTAACTGTGAACTGTGAATTTCGCAATATAACGGGTTTACTTGAATGACAAAGGAGTTTTTTTTTTTTCCTGAAAAGCACTTCAAATTGTCATTTGTATAAAATTTGATATTTTAAAAACTATTATTTTGCCATAAGAATTTTGATTTTATTTTTTTTTAATTTCCAAAATAAGTATTTTGATTGAAAACGCATCGCAAGCTCTAAAATTCGAGCGTTCGATATGTTTATCTTTGCAAGAAATCATATCATAAAATTTACTACGGCAAAAATATATTTGATAAACTGTCATATGTCAAGAAATGTCTTTGAAGCATTTTAATCAATTATTACACATAATAATTATATGAAAATATTTACGAAACATATTTACCTAATATTTGTTAAAAAACATTGCTTTTAAACAAAATGATTTTTATAAATGACAACAAAAATTCAATTCACAAATTTCATCGGGAATACCTTGAATACAAAATGTTATCGATATTTGAACCCAACCCGAGCGATAATAACGGCAATGCGATTTTTGAAACGTTAAAATTTAAATGCAAAAAACGTTTTTACATAAGAGTTTCCTTAGAATGTAAAATGTTAACAGGATTTCATGTAGTTAATTTCTGAATTTTCTGAATGGAAGCTCAACCTTTGACGGCGCGTGCACGCAGCATTGTTTTGCAGGCGGCGTTGTGCGTCTTAAGCGGCAACTCATCTGGAAAGCGGTAGAGGTTTAGTTGTTAGCTTTGTTAGCGTTATCCTGTGTGGAATACTTACAGATCTTGTGCTCGCCCTGCACTGGCAGCAGCAGTGGCAACTGTTCCGGTTTGCTGCACACAAACACATAGGGACTGTCGGATTCGCCCTGGGGATAGAGATCACGGTATTCCTCCTGGGGCAAACAGCTCTCCACATTCACACAGCCCAACAGACTGCTTGTGGGATAGTGCGATGGGAACTTAAGATTATCATCTGAAAATGGCAAACGTAATCAATTATTTTGATCTCTGCCTGCTTGACGAACTCACCATTGTAGAGCACACGATAAAACTGCTCCATTTGGGCGATGTCATCGGCGTGCGGCTCCTTGGCGGTGGAGGCAATCCACAGGCGACCGCGATGCTCGCTGTACCATACGCGGCCTTCGTGCCTGGATAAAAGGAATAGGGATAACAAAACATTGTTAAAAGCTTTGAACACATTTTACGTGATCGGCCGAAGTGCATACTTTTTAATGCCTGCCACCAGGAGAGATGCCCAGGGCTGGTGCATGGACAGGCACTGGCGCATGTCCTGCATTTCGAGCAGCTCCTTATCCTGGACCCGATTGTAGATGCGCTCAAGCCCGTCATTGGCAGGTTGTGCGGGCCAAGCTTTCTGCTCCTTGCTCGCCTTGAATACGGGCGGCTTGGCCACACCCAGATTGGGCGCCAGCGCAAGCGCGGATTGACCGGTTAGCGAGCTGCCCTGGTCTATGGCTGCAGCCTTGCTAACAGCAGCCAGCTGGCGCAGCACCTGCTGCTCGTACTCCTTGCTGACCAGCGATTCGTCGGGCAGTTCCCGTCCAGCAAAGTCCACCTTGATCTTGCGCTTCAGCCGGCTGCCGTGCTTCATTTCGTGCATCTCGCTCTTCAGCTGTTCGTACTTCTCGCGCTCGGCATCGGTTAACCAAACGGAGTTCTCCTGGAAGTAGTCCAGCTCATCATCGATGACTGTCGTGCGCTTCTCGCTATTCCGGTCGTACTCCAGCAGACGATCGCGCTGTGCCAGCGCCTGCTGCAGCGAGGCTTCCTTATTGCACTTGCCAGCCGCTGCAGTCGGCTGCTGCTTCTTCAGCGCCTTGGCCTGGCCCTTGGTATTGGCCCGCGTGGTCGCCGCGGCCTTCGCCATCTGCTGTTCCTCCTCGTTGGTATAGACCGGCTCACCGCAGTAGAGGCACGGCCCGCTGCCCTCCTGTTCGCACACAATGCGCCCGCAGCCCAGGCAATTGTTGATAAGCGTGTGCTCCGCCGCCTGACAGTCGCAGCTGCGTCGCCCCTTCAGCAGAATGGTGTCGCCCATGAGTTTACCATCGCCGGCATACATGCTCACAAATTTACCCTGCTTCTTGGCCACTCCGCCACCGGCCCGTTGGACGGGCGCCGCGTTTGTGGTAACGGGTGACTTGTTTTTGACATTGCTGCGTGGTTGCTTGCCGCTGAGCAGCATGCGGCGGCAGTTGTGTAGAAACAGGCGATGCTCCTCGATGTCCTCGCTGAGCAGATTGCCGAAGTAGTTGTCGAACTCTTGGTCATCTCTGATCGCCAAAATGGTGCTGAATATGAGAACGGACAGATTTGATATAAATTTACAACAGAAATGCACTCGGATAACATCTAGGCTAACTCACGACATCATTTGATCCGTGACCACACAGTCCAGGCACTTGGATAAGGTTTCACTTAGCCACTTTTCCATGATCGCAGCCTGGGGGATTGACAAACTTTACGAAATGTCAGCCCAAAGCAAAACAAAAACAGAAATCTACATTTTCTAAATCGATATATGAGCTATCGATAAGCAGTTTACGAAAATCGGCATAGCGCGTTAACATTCGAGTCAAATGGTTGAATCGGCCGAAATGAAGGTTGTATTCAGACTTTTTGTTAAAACTAACTGTTAATATCATCCGTTATGAAACCAGGCATGAAGTAAAGTGTCTGTTCATGGAAAAGTGTCCAAAACTCTTTATTAATTTGAACATAATTAATTATGTTACTTTTTATAAAGATTGGTATTCAAAATTTAAAAGTTTTTAAGTTGGGCTAAGAAACTGTGAGCATGTGAGAGCGCTTGGTGACGTCACTAACTTAAGAGGCTGCCGAATGCATGTTGCGAGAAACGCGTGACAAGAAACAGTGCTAGACAGCGTCTATATGGCCAGATAGAAATTATAAAATCTGGCAACGCCGTGACAACAAAAATATGCGAAATGCAAGTATAAAACAAAATACAATAAATATTCGTGAAAGGAATGGAAACATTTTAAACGCTCTGCCGCTCCCGTTCGTGTTATGCTGCTATTCCGACTGTGATCTAATGTATATTAAATTAAATATTGTGCGAGTTTAATAGTAATATAAGACAAAGACGCGTTGTTTATTTAATTGCTTTGTGTGCCTGTGTGTGTGCTTGTATATGTGTTTAAATTGTTGTAAACAACAAATCATAAGTGCCAGGTTATAACAAAATCTGTGCCTGTCTTTTTGTGCTGTTGTTCAAATAGAAAGTGCTGCCGACACAGCAACAATAACTACGGCGACAAAAACAACAGCAACAAAAGTCATTTGCAAAAAATAAAAAAAAAAATCAAAGCAGACGTCAACGCTGGCGCTGGTGACGGCGACGGCGACGACGACGGCGCTAGCAGCGGCGGGTACGCCTCAGTCTACGTCCAGACAGTTTTAGCAGCAGAGGCAGCAGCCACCCTCATTCGCATTCGCATTCATATTCGCACAGCTGTAACATTTGTCACACGCCCCTTCGCTTGGGGGAAACTTTTCGCATCTTTGGCGCTCTCCGTACGGTACATTCGCGTTAACGGTATTCTGTAATAACTAGAGCCGCTAATATTGTTGCTGTTGCTGATTATAAATTGCGTGCGTCTTTGCTAGCAAACCTCGCTCGCTCGCACGCACGCTCTCTCTCTCTCTATCTCTGTCGCTCGCATAGTTAATCGCCACGCCGTCGTTGCCGTCGACGCAGTTTGTAAGCGACGGCGCTGCGCTTCGATTTTGTTGCTAGTAATTTTTTTTTTTTTTGGATTGTATTTAGTAAATTTCCGCCTGCGCTTACGTGTCATATGATTTGCCAAAAATAGCCAAGTAATACAAAAAAGAGAAAAAGAGAACAATAACAAAAAAAAATGCAGCTGCAGCATTAAAAAGTTCTGCCTGCGCCTGCGTCATTGTGTGTATGTGTGTGTGTGTGTGTGCGTGTGTTTCGGTGCTTATGTGCGTGAATGTGTTTTAAAGCCGGCATTACGGTAGTGCGGTCAAACAGCTGGGACGCAGCTACAAACACACCAAACAACTACATACAACAATACCAAAGGCGAAAATGTATCGAATCGGTCCAATTGGACGCAAATCCAACTTCCACTCGCGCGAGAAATGTCTGATTGGACTCGTGCTAGCTACGCTGTGCTTCCTCTGCTTTGGCGGCATTTTCCTGCTGCCAGACAACTTTGGCAGCGAGCGCGTACTGCGCGTCTACAAGCACTTCCAGAAGGCCGGGCCCGAGATTTTTATTCCGGCCCCACCGCTCGCCGCGCATGCGCCACGCGACGAGGATCCCCACTTTATGGGCGATCGCCAGCGCCTCCAGCAGAAGATCATCGCCGAACTGGGCGACATTTTCGATGAGCCGCAGGCGGCAGCCGATGCGGTTGCACAGGCGCCGGCGCCGGTGCCGGCTGCCCAACAGGAACAGCCCGTCGAACAGGAGGCACCGCCAGAGTTGGCTGCTCATCAACGAGTGTCCTTGCCAGCATCCGATGACACAATCCTTAACAGCAACAACAACAACAATAATCCGCTCCATGGCGAACAACAGCTTAAGCTACCCATGGGCATGGGCAGAGAGCTAGCGGCAGATCATGCGGATGCCGGCATAAAGGAGAAGCGTCTAAAAGTCAAAGAGGTGAGTGAGTAAATATGTACATACATATGTATTTCGTATAACCGAACAAACAACTTGTGTGGGGCTTTCTCTGGCCCTCTCCCTCTCTCACTCCCTCACGCGCAGTCCGATCAGCGCTGATAAGCACAAATTGCGCGGCCTCTCTTTTGCACTAATGGCAGATTTGTTGTATCTCTCGCTTATTAAAATACATTTTTGGCCCGTGCTTCTCTATCAACGGCGGCGACGGCGACGGCGGCGGCCTCGTGTCTTATGTTTCCTCCTCTGCACGTTTGTGCACTTCCGCCGTCAGCGACACTGACGCTGACGGATGCTGTGACGTTGCCGTTGACGCCGATAACTCATTGCGAATACATCAACATGCATACATACATATGTAAGTAAGTATACTGCTTGCGCAAGCTGGCATTACGGTAAATCCGATGACATCTTCAAAATCTCGACGATATGTTGCACAGCCAACTTCGGGTTTTCGAACAAACACGAGCTGCTGCCGCAGCAATGCTTGCAAGTTACCGGACGATATTAGCAAAGAAAGAGAGAGAGAGAGAGAAAGAGAGCGAGAGCCACAATGCATTCAGAATAAATACAACATTCACAGCAATAACAAAAGCTGCTGTTGCCGATCACAAATACATTCTCAAGTAGCGTATCGTACGTGTGTATTGGCTCGCATGCTCTCTTTTGGCTTGCGTTTATAGGTTAGGTTAGGTAAGGTGGATTTTGTGCTCTGATGCATGGGTTGTTTGGCTGTGGAGCATTGTAATGGGGAGGGGGTTCCGTTGGGTGCGTGTTTGTTTTTCATCAACATACGAATTTAGTCCAAATATTACATCTATATTGGAAAGGATGCACATACATTGTATGTGCAAATGGAATGTATGGATACATCTCAGTATTTTTTGAGCCTTGATTATCCGAGACTTTATCTCGATTATCCATAAGCTTTCCTTTTGGATAATGGAGGTAATCACGTTTAACAAAGTTATCAACTCAAACACAGACGGATTAAATTTTTTGGAATAAAATTAGATATCTGTTTATATTCGAATATGTGTTTTTTTTAGTTGCAGAAACATGTGTTCTTGTTTACGGTAAATGAAAGTAATAACATTTTTTGTCAATATAAACTTATCGAGATGTTCAATGGGCTTGGTGCCGAGCATCGTGGATAAACGTGGTTCAACTGTATTTCCGCTCATCATCCACGCTAGTGCGTGGAATTTGCCAATTCTTCAGTTGGTCTGTGCATCAAATGCCAATTTGTCAGTACATAAGTATTAAATTCTAATCGGATTGTTTCTCTGCACCCTCCCCCTCTCCCCTCATCCATCATCCATCCATCCGTCATTTACATGCTTTGCACGTTTGATAGCCTGAAGTCAATTGAGAGATTTATTTGGCATTGATACCAAGAACACAACATAGCGCTAATGAAATGTTATAGACCCAATGGGGATGTTATATATTTCAGTGGAATTTCTGGGTACACCCACCACGAACTTGTGTAGCTACACATGTTTGCAATTAATGTAGATCGGTAACAGCATTTTTTGTTGCTGATAAAACTGAATATATATACATGTATAGAATTTATACACATAAATATGTAGCAAAACCCTAAATGAACTGTTTAACAACTGTTGGGGAACAGCTCAGCTGTCCGAAACTTAAAGACATATTGTGTTTGCTCTTGCCCTTTTTTTATGCCAAGCTGCCAACATATTTGATTTTGATGTGCTTTCACTTTGTTACTCATTTTTATGATTTTTTTTTTGTTTATGGCATATTTCCACTTTTTTCATCTCGTTGCTTATTCCACTGACCCAGAATTCTACTAGGCGCTAAACTCTATTAAGTAAGAAAAAAAAAACTTCTTAATCATTTTGAACTGATTCAGCAATCTAAGCAACAACAATAACAAAAACAATAGCAACAATATCAACAACAACAACCGCAAAGATCGCGAACATGGCAACAATGGCACATTGACTTGGACTTTGTTTTTATACCCTTCGCCCAGTCAATAGGGTAGCATAGACTAGTGCCAATGTCTTTAAATCGTGCCTAGATCTGAGCTGAGCTGAGTTGATTGATAACTCTTTCAGCTTATATTATTTCCAAAGATTCGGTTGGGCCCTGGGTAGCGCCTAGTCGGTCAGTCTCGCCCAACGCACCTTTTCTTGTTGTTTGTTTTGCTCAAGCATTCGCACAATACATGTCCCAGCATTCTTATAGAAACCGAATCTTGCGATAGTCTCACAGGTATTAATTAAAAGCGATTCTGTTCGTGTTCCTCATTTTTCTTCCTTCTTCTTTATCATCTTACTCAGAAGATCGACGATCACGATAGACAAAAACAAAAACAAAAAAAAAAAGAGACACCTGTGTTCTTACCTTTGCTTATCAACGAGAGCCTTCTTATGTACACTTGTGCATCAAACCATTTCCGCATTTAGTTTTCATTGGTTTCGCTTTCTAATAGACGTGGCGAAACAGAACCCGTTAACGACCTAGCCTGGAGCTATTTGCTCTCTCTCTCTCTCTCACGCTGGCTTATTCATTGTGCGAAACTATTTTTCGGTAAGCACGAGCCAAGCTTCTGCGTATGCAAGAATAGCTATTAGATCCTGCGGATTCTAAATGTTAAGGATTCTATTTAATCTTTAAACTGACAGTCAACAACTTCACACACGAATTTTAGTGCGTTTTATATTATTTAACCATTCAGTGATTGGCTGACTGACTGATTGACTGATTGATCAGCCATAATCGTAAAAGCAGGAAATTTTTCCTGTAGTTTCCTTATAAGATGAACGTGCACGTTGGGACGGGTTTTCCAATCGTATGCAACTTTTTTGTTTACCATCCGATCGGTCTTAAGCTCACTTTCAAACATCTTTGCTCTAATTCACATTTTTCGCAAAATGCATTCCTCTTTAGTGGAAATGGGCGTCAAAGATTTGGTAGCTAGGACGGTTTGCGATCGCGCATTTAGTTGCTGAACTTTGAAGTTAAAAGATGATGTGAGTATAAAAGGAAGTTATTTGCTAGATCTAGTTGGAACATCGTATATATACTGGGTACGAGGAATGTGAAAAGTCTATATTGATGTTTGAATGAAGTCCACCTCACTTTTAGCTAAGATGGCAACTCTGAAATTATGTCTGTCGTTCATTTTGACAGATTGGCAACTTTGCGCTGTAATTCGCAACAAGTTGAAACCTTGTGGAAGAGATGTTTGCTGGTGATAGAAACTGGGAGTCTCCTATTGACCTTGGGTCTATCAGCTATTTATTGGGGTTAAACTAAAAAGTTCACTTACCCACACTTACGTGCAACAATATATGGCTTAGCTTATGCACTTATTCCGCTACGTTTTGGCACACGTGAATCAATTCGATTTGCACTGCACATGTCGCACTTGAGAAGTCCCAGCTCGTCTCGCGATTGTCACGTCACTATTTTTTCAATATTCGCGATATAAAAGAGCCTCCCAATTGACTCAATTTATCGTTCTCTTGCGAATGCGAGCTTTATAATAGACTTAAACCAGTTTGCCGGTCGTTGATCACGATAAGGCAATTTATTGTTAGCAACTGATCAATTGTTTGAGACATCTGCAGACAACTGTTTAAAATCGCTTAAGGTTCGTTTAAATGGATTTGTTTGTTATATATTTGTATGCTTAAGAGTTTGGGAAACAGAAGCTGGGTGTGGAGCAAAAAACACTTCGAAGACATTTGCAAGCATCGTATAAACGTTATATATTTGTGAAGCTGAGGCGAATGACATTCGGTAACATTTACATTTTCAGCCCGGCGATGACGGGTAATTTTCCGCGGGCAAAGTCTATTCAAAATTTAAAAATTGTCATTCTACCAATTTGCTTACACCTCTTCTTTTATTCGCATCAAATATCTGTAAAGCTTCTTAATGTATATTTTGCTAAGTCTTACAACAAAAACTAACATCACAAATTTGGCATTCCCTGCAGGTAAAATAATTTTTTGAATCTCAATGAATATTAAGTTGGCCTCTTAAAATTCTACATTTGGCATTTGAATGCCAAATTTCATGTTTCTAGCTTTTAGGATTTCGTAAAAACGTTCCGCAGAGCATACAAATTTATAAAATAGTTCATAAATTATAGAATGTACATCAAATTTAAATGTTAATTTGGACTTTTTTTATTATTGACAAAAATGATAATAATTACGTTTTCATATAACACAATTTTAAGATGGATTGTTTTTATGTGTGTAATTAACATCGATCTTTTTCGATCGACTCTGATCAATATATAGCAATATATATATATATAGCACACTTCTCGACAAAATTAAAGTACCCCAGATTGTTGCTATCGCATATTATTGATCGCTTACGGCAGCTTTGTATTTATATAATAATTTGATCCACTAGCTGCCGAGTTATAAACAAATATATATCTATGACTCCAATATACAATACAATATATATCCACCAAACTATGTGAACTCAAATAATCGAAATTATCGTCTATATGTATATATCGAAGGATCGTGGCCTATGGCCTATGGTAAGCAGATATATCGAATATAACTGAATGTGAAATTCGATCGCATGATATCGATTTGGTCGGCCACAAATACTGTATACTCCCTTTCCTCCCACCTCATCAGCAGATAGGTCAACGAAACGTTTAAATAAATAAAAAAACAAACAAATAAAAAAATATATATAACTAAGCGATTTGTGGTAGAGCTATCATTAGTACTTTTAGCTGTCCATTACAAGCTTAATGAGCATTTTCAGGCCAATTTGAGCATAAAATGCGTTAGACTTTTTTAAATTTATTTCCTGTTATCTAACAAATTTTTAGCAGAGTGCTGATCGGGCGAGAGGGGGGTTAGTTTAGATATTTACAAGTTGCGGCTTAGTCTAGTCTAGGTTCTAGTTATTTTTGGCTGAGGGACGGCAAGCTGAGAACTAAGACAACGATCGGCTAGATCCGTTGG